CATAAGAATGCAATTAATTTCAATAAAATAGAAGCTTATTCTTAAACAGATAAATAATTAAGATATTAGAAATACAACAAACACGTTGCATTCAAACGTTCATTTATTGACATATTTGGAACTTGGAACTTATTTAAATGTTCTTTGATTTTTTCCCCAGCTAAACAAAACCTGTTTTTTGTTTGTTTATACTATCTAGTAAAGTATTATTTCGAATGTAACTAAGTTGTCTGAAATATACTCGGTACAAATACTAAAAATAAGCAAAGATGACAGCAAAACAATTGGGTACTTGAACTTTAAGAAGAAGATCACAGATACCCTCACATGTAAGTACCAGCTGATCATTTATATGCAAAATGGCGTGTTAAAGTTGTGCTTATTTTCCCCACTTAAGTTAAAATGTCCTCGTCGGACATCGGATTTGTTGAAATATAATTCTTTTTCATCAACGTCTTTTACTTAACTTATTTATTATTTGTTTATGTATTTTATCGTAACCTTTATATATATTTGCTTTATGAACCTGGCAATTTTGATGCATAATTGGTTTATATATGTTCTACGTGGCTTCATGCCTGTCTTTGTGTTAAGTCTCTGCGTAAATACGTAGATGAAGAATTTAAACCTTTGAGAAAGAATATATGCGAAAGTGCTTCGCTTAAGAGAATTCATACTTGATGGGCTTGACTTACTCGAAATAGAATGGAGAGAACAGTTTCTAACGTAAACAAATGCCATGTTTCAACAACCAATAAGAATCAAGGTACCACTCTATTTGCAGCTAAAAACGTCCTACTCTGCCAATGATTCTGATAGAACCAAATGAAAACTTAATAAATAAAAAGCCTGAAACTACTTAAGTTAAAATTTCTTGATTTTTAAAGAATACTAATTGTTTTTTTTTTCAAGATAAATGTCACTTTTTTTCCTTAATTAAAATCAATTATCTTGTACTAGTAATAATATTCTGCACCTGTAATTATTAATAAATATTATCTTTCTCTATATTTTTGACGAAGATGTTTTAAATTAATTAACGAATATTATAGTAATAAATATAAAGGACAGTAAACTACTGTAGCTGCAGTAAATGTTGGTAAACTACTGAGCTACAGTAGTTTATATAACAGGTATAACGACTATAACAGGTAAGAACAACTATATTTTAATCGTGAAAATTTCGAAAACTTGTTCGTAACGTTTCCTTATTGAAAAAAAAATTCCTAATGTAGAAACAAGTCTTTAAACAGTTACTATAACATTAATTTTTAAAAAAAAGCATTTTTAACATAGCGCAGGAAAAAGTTTTGTATTTGCATTTATAATAAATGCTAACATACCAGATCTGTTCTTGAAAGAAGCGCAAATGTTTATGTATGCAAATTTTTCTAAGCAACCTTCAAGATGCTGAGAGCCATTTCTTATATTCTTTGAACAGTTCAAGTTGTCAGATAATCCATTGTTCAGAAATTATCTTTAAGAAACTTTGTCTTTCAAGGAACCTCTTAAAGCGAAGAAGAGAATTTGTTTCCTCCGTGCTAACCTATACTGAACTTTATATAATAATTTAATTTTCTTATACATTAATTATCTATATTCTTTTATTTATTTTTGTCTCTCTTTATTTGTTGAAATGTGATCAACTGAGCTTATCAACCAAAATGATTGTTTCCTTTCTACTAACCAACAGAGAACTAACTGTAATAGTTTAATTTTCTTATGCATTAAATATCTAGGCTCTTCTATTTCACTTTTGTCTCTTTTTATTTATTGAAATGTGTTCTACTGAGCTTAGCAACTAAATAAATTGTTTTCTCCATGTTAATCTACAGCGAACTAACTATAACAATTTAATTTTCTTATACATTGAATATCTAGGCTCTGTTGTTTCACTTTTGTCTCTTTTTATTTATTGAAATGTGTTCTACTGAGCTTAGCAACTAAATAAATTGTTTTCTCCATGTTAATCTACAGCAAACTAACTATAACAATTTAATTACCTTATCATTTTATCTACCCAGAATCTTTCTTATCATTTTATATGACCATATAACCAGAATTTTCAGTAAATCTTGACCATGTACTTGGGAAAATTATCAAATGAATAGCTTAAACACCGTGTATTTTGATATATTACCAGAATAATTGTGTTCTTTACCAGAAATGCCTTTACAGTTACGGTAATTTTATTAGAATTTTTTCTCCGTAGAACAAGAAATTATAATAAGTATCTTTGGAGTGACTAGGTAAGTACGATATACAAAGTTATTAATAAATGTTTGTTAAATTTTTCGCAGTTACTATAATAATTAGGAAATAGTTTCAGAAATATTTACGCGATCTTCATCGAAAGATTTGTTATGTTTTAAGCACATTTTTAAACTTCTTTGGCTAAAATATTTCTCGAAATTCGGTAACTACATTCAATAAAACATGTTTAAATGAACAAAATAATACAAACTTTTTTTTAAATATTCCTGAAATTATTCTTTTAAAAATAATATTGGATTCCCGATAGTGTTTGTAGGTTAACAGGGATCTTTATTGCCCGAAGAGAACCTTTAAGAAGCAGTTTCACTTTCAATCTTTAGGTTAATTTTTAACTTATTAGATTCAATTTTTTAGTTGTGTTTTCTCAGTGTTTGTATTTAACAAATTTTTGATGATAAAGTGTCATTTCGTAGTACTATACCTTTAAAAAAAAGAATAAGAATTTTATTAGATTAAGGAAAAAGGAGCATAATCATGATAATTTTTAAATTTTCCATAAAATAATAAAATTATTGGATTTGCAGTTTTGAGCAAGTAACTTCACAAAGGAGAAAAACTCTTATAAAATTACCACACTGTGTGGCAAAGGCATTTTTTGGGAATAAACCATAATTCCGGTTATAAAACAAAAATATAAAGTATTTAAACCAATCATTTGGTATTTTCTTTCGTTTATCGGAAATTCTGGATTTTAAAATTATCTATCTTATTACTACACAAATGGTAAAAATACCAAACTTAAAAGTCAATTGAACAAAGTACATAGTTTCTTATGCCACGTTTTAAGGCATCATGATAAATCCAAAATTACCCAATGTTTTCCGATTTAATAAATTTTAACGCACATTATAAAATAATATTTTACTGTTAATTTTACCATAATCATTACAAAATCTCTTCAGTAAGAATTACTAAGCCTTTTGGTATTCCCACAGAGTCAGATGCACGAAAAATTTTATCATATCATATTTTTGGTATTCTCATCAACCTAGAAACATGGTAAATATGGCCATATTCTGGTAGTTAAATCTCAAACAACCATTTTTGCAAAAAAAGAAACTTATAATTTTAATGAAACGATTTTAAGAAATACAACAATTCAAGAAACGTTTGCTATTTCAAATGAAATGCTTCTCTTAACTTCCAGATCAAATCGTTTCCTATCTATCTGATATCTATGATATTAGGGGTGGTAATTTGTACTTACAGTTTAGATTGCTGCATACATTTAAAGGGCTTTGGAAATATAGTGACTGTCCCTCATTTTCCCACTTTTTTTAATCAAGCAGTCTTTTAATATTGTTTTCAAATATACAGTTCAGAGATTTCCAGAATTTCCTATAGTTAAGTTAATGCAATTCACTAAAATATTTTATTACTTTTGGGAAAAACTAGGTGTTTTTCTTTAAAAATGCTTTACTGAACAATTTTATTATTATACTTATTATCATTATAGTTAATACAGTTATAGTTAATACAATTCACAGAATTTTATTGATTATGAGTGAAACTGGGTGTTTTTCATTAAAAATGCTTTACTGAATAATTTTGTTAATATACTCATTATTATTATTTTCTAATTTACACAGTAATAGTTAGTACAATTCAAGGAAGTATTTTATTTCTTATGTGTAAAACTCGTTGTTTTTCATTAAAAATGCTTCAGTGAACAATTTTATTATTACACTTATTATTATCATGCATAGTTCATACAGTTATAGTTAATACAATTCACGGAAGTATTTTATTACTTTTATGTGAAACAGGGTCTTTTTCATTAAAAATAAATGCTTTACTGATTAATTTTATATTCATACTTATTATTATTATGCATAGTTAATACAGTTATAGTTAATACAATTCACGGAAGTATTTTATTACTTATGTGTAAAATTGTTCATTTTTCTTTAAAAATGCTTTGCTGAACAATTTTATTCTTGTACTTATTATTACACTGTCTAAATATAGAGCTTAAAACAGTAGTCTTTAGCTCTATATTTTTCACTCTTATTTTAATATTTTTAAATTAATAAAAAATTTAAAACAAGTAAATATAAAGTTTGTCTGTATTTAACATATGGGAATTATGCATTTATAAAATAATTAAGCCTTTTAATTGTAAAGAAATTATTTATAATCTGAACTATTACCACAGAATAGTTTTAAGCAAGGCATAAACATCACAACAGGAATTTCTATTCATAAACTTTGTTTATGAGTACAAAAAATTAAAAATTTAAAAAAAAAGGGTGCAGATTTGTTTTCGTTTTAAAGCCAAAAACAAATTTTAAGAAATAAACAGAAAGCTTATCTATATTACATACAGCCAATTTTGTATTTATAAATTCATACTAATACACTCACAGGAAAATTGTAAACTTTCAAAAATTAAGTATTCATTTTTTTCCGAAACTCGATATTAGGCGTAGTTTTTACTTTATTTTGAAAAAAAGCTGATAAATTATTAATACTCTACTATGAACTTAAACAAGATCTAAACATTATAAATCTCTACTCCCACGCTTTATGCATGAAAAAGAAGAGAACTGCCCTCAAACTCCGCAAGCTAAAACACTTTTATTACTAAAACCAAATATACTCTGAGCGAGCGGGAATAGTTCATCACGCATCGGGGGCGGTGCACGAGAAGCTTTCTGAAACATTTGATTGGATGGTAGATGATGTGACGTCAGAATATCCCAAGAAAACTCCACTTAAATGAAGGATCTGCCTGTTTTAATCCTTCTACACTGAGAACCAAGAGCAGAAGTTCGGAAACAAGGCTGTGTTTTAAACTAAAATTATTTGCAACAATGTGGAAGACTTCACTTGCAATTGCAACTTTTTGCTTCCTTACCACACTTGCATCCTGCCATTATAGGTAAGGTATTTCTTTTTTTTTTCAACTGAAAACACTATGAAAATTTGCTTATTACTCTTAGAATTTGATTTTGTTCATATATTGGTGTTATTTTCTGTTCAATTTATGTTTTTCATAATAATTCATATTTTGATGCAGTTATAAGATAAGTAGGAAAGCTTATAACATTGTTATTTTCTTCTTTTTCTTTTCAATGAAATGAAGAGTCGAAAAGTCTTTCGATATTTGTAAAAAATTAATATTTTTGTGAATAATAAAATAGAATGAAGTGAAAATCCGTTGATTTGCTAGTGGAAAAAGTAGAATAAAAAAACATAAAAACCAGTTTGATTGTCTGATAAAATTCAGAGATGTATCTAATAATCGCTTTTTAACTCCTCTCTGTGGTCAAAACAGGCTTCGATGTTTCAAGTCTCACTTTCCTCAGTAAGTGATTCCATCGATATTCATGGGTTTTTTTGTTAGACTTGTTTTTAGACTTTTTTTAGACTAATTTAAAAGCAGTGATTAATTACTGTGTGCTCTTCGTACAAAAATCGAAAAATGGTTAAAAAAAATTTATTATAGATTTTGCAGCAAAATAATATCGGTATATAAATTTCGGTATATATAAATATTTTCATGCTAATAAGCATAAAAAATCAACTTTTTACAAAATTTCACTAAAAATGTTTTTGCTCTAAGTTCGAGAACTTAAAGCATCAACATTTCAGAAAAAAAGTAATTCCTACTAATATAAAATAAATAAAGTATTAAAATCGATTCAATAATATAATTTTTCTTTTTAAAGTAAACATTGTATAATGTTCATTCTACATTTTTAATAAATAAATATTATGTATAAACGTAAATTTGCAATCGTAATAAATTTTTATCTACTTATGAGAATAAATAATACTTTAATCAACATTATGTAGAATGTTTAAAAACGTAATGTATAATGTAAAAAAACCGTAATGAAATTGTTTGAAAGCGCAATGTATAATGATTAAAAACATAACGTATAACGTTAAAAAACGTAGTGTATAATGATTCAAAACGTAATGTATAATGCTTAAAAACGTAACGTATAATGTTGAAAAATTGAATGTATAATGTTTAAAAACGTAATATCTACTTCGTCTATCAGGGTATACGTACTTTGTCTACTAGAGGTGAAATCAACCCCACTTAGACGCTAACACAATTCCTAGCGAGTAAGAATTTAATTTGAAAGACTGACTAGTAATATAAAGAGCCTTTACCTAAACTAAAATTAATACATTGTAATATATTCCATATATGGCGAAATTTTTGATTTTTTTAATAAACTATTTGGATAGTTCCAACAATTTTTTTAATATCTTCTTTATACTTATAAAAATAAAACACTGTTAGGATGTATGTTCACTAATAACTAGAGAGCGGGAGCACATATTTAGAACTGATTTTTTTACCGCAGTTTGCGAATTTTTAAGGGGGGGGGGGATGTTTTGTAAACAATCACCTCTTTCATTTTGTGGTTCGGACACAATATTGAAAACAGTATCTCTGTCACCGAATTAGCATTTTTAAAAATTATTTAAGAACAAGAAGTTGGCAAATCTAATGAATATTAGATTTGTTTTCTAATGAATATTAGAAAAATTTAAAAATCCTTAAAGCTCGTTAAATTCATAGTAAAAGGTGCTTGAAACAAATATGCAAGATAAAATAATTTATCGAAAATTTAAGAAATATTTCAACGGTCAAAATAAACATATATTTGATTATTTTTATTCGTCCAAATTTCATTTCAATTTCAAGGCTTTTAAGTTTATTAAATTATAATATTAAACCATTTTTTTCAGGAAACTATTGATAATTATAATTAATTGCTCACATGTTTTTTGATCATGAATTTTAAATTCTTAAACTTTATAGTTATTTTTAAAATGAAAACATCATAAACTTTATTAAAAAAATTCACTGCTTATTGGCTGTTGGTATCAAGACAAGCTAATAGAACAAAGCTAGAGTCTGATTTACATAGACTACCGGTCAATTGATACCGATAATACAGATATGTGCATCCAAAAAGACGATATCGTGAATATTTTACAAAGCGATAATTATAGAATACGATATTTTGTGAATATTGCTGAATTTATTTTATAACAAAAATAATGAAACAAAACTATTGATACCAATATGGAAATTAGATTAATTGGAAAAATATCGCGATACATTTTTGACTAAACATCGCGATATTAAAATGTATACTCATTGATCATGGGGGTAAATGTTTCTTTGTGTGACAATTCGAAAAGCAGTCGTCAACGCATGGTCTTTATAGCCGAGAAGGAGATGAAAGGTAACTTATCAACAGCGGATAGATGTTAAAAACATACGTAAGCTACATATTTAAGTATACACATTTAAAACCTAGATCTGTTAATGCTCAACTCACTGGTTCTATTATTAAGAAAAATATAGCTTTCAGTAGAAAAAAAATCTTTCTTCTAGGCTTGAAAAAGTTAAATAAATCTGGTTAGCAAGGTAAAGTTCATTTTAATTAACAATTAGATCTATCAAATAAATGTAAAGACTGATCTGCACTTTTTAACGTTGTGGTTATGCTGGCTTTTAGTTCTAGAACAGGATCGGAAAGCTAAATTATTTTCTTTAAATTTATGTTTTTCCTTAAAATGTATTATTTACTGCTTGTGATCAGCGAAATTTTTTAACTTGAAGAAATTTGTAACAGTTAAAGTTCGTGTCGTTTTGGCGAGAATAACCTTACAAATTAAATTTATCAGCTCACATGCTTAATAGTAGCAAAGACTAAATTGATAATTTAAATTTATTTGACTGAATTAAATTATTTGACTAAATTGCTAATTTATCCACCATTATCCACCATAGAGATAATTAGCATATTTTTTATATTTATTTTATATTCATTTTATATTGTATTTATTTTATATTATTATTTATTTTATATTCATTTTATATCATATTTATTTTATATCATATTCATTTTATATTATTATTTATTTTATATTCATTTTTTATTTATTATTAATTTTATTAGAAAATTTTAACTAATTGCTATTTTGAACCACCAAATCACCATTGAGATAATTAGCATATTTGTTTTTTTTTATATATTTATTTTGCATTCATTTCATATTATATTTATGTTATATTCATTTTTTATTTATTATTTATTTTTTTTTTAAATTTTAACTAAATTACTAATTTGAATTATTATCCAACAAATCACCATTGAAATATATAGCATATTTGTCTTTTTGTATTTATTTTATATTCATTTTACATTATATTTATTTTATATTCATTTTACATTATATTTATTTTATATTATTGTTTATTTTACATTCTTTTTTTTATTTATTGTTATGTTAGAATATATTTTACTAATCATTTTAGCAACACATTTGCCACAGCACCCATACAGCGCGAACATGGTTGACTTGGATTGACATGGTTGAACATGGATGAGACAATAATTAAATCTTCCCTCGCTTAAGCAGTATGAGTTTATTATAGTTAGATATTGTCTTGAATTTTGACTGTGCGATTTTAAATCTCGAAATGTTTGAAATTCTACTAATTTAAAAAGGAAGACCAGTTGGTTGTCGGAGGCGCATTGCAATTTATAAAGATATTTCAGCCAAAAAATGGATTTTAACAAAAATTGTGTAAAACCTATATACGGTGGTCGTAGTAAAAAATAACTAATTAATATAAAATTTTCTGATACCTAAATTCAAGCCTTTAAACTTAAAATAAATGCATTTAAAAATTTTCACGATTGACAAAAAGTTTAACGTCTTCAATAGAGTATCCGGATATTTGTTTTAAAGAAGACCTTAAGAGTATAATTTTTAAAAATAACAAGCTAAATATTACGAACAGAAACAACAGTTGAATAAAATACGAAACGAATTGACGATGTAGTAAAACAATTTATCTAAAAAAAGAAACCAATCAACATAAAGTGCCTTGTATCCAGAATTCAGAACGTTCTATCGAAATTATCTGTAATTGGTAAAAAAAGGTTTGTTTTATTGTTTGAAGTAACCTGATTTGTTCACTAGAATGATTGAATATTTTTTAAAGATAATAACAAAGTTCTATTATACTAAAATACTTAGCTTAAAATTATGAATATGAAGAAAAATAATAGAGCTTGGTATAATAACTATTTGGTAGTGCAGCCCCCCTGAGTTTTTCAATTTCAGTTAAGAGCATAGAAGTGACATTGTGCATGCTTCGACGAAAATTGATGGTTGCATTGGGGATAAACAGAGGTCGCATTATCAGGAATAATGTGCTACAAATGAGCTTCACCGTTTTTCGGATTAGAATTTTTCTTTTCTTATTCGCTAATGACACTTGCCATAGTTGGTTATCCTTTGCAAATGTATGTTCGACAACGAAATAACGTTACATCTGATTTTTGTGAGATGAAATAATTTTCTAATTACAATGCATGGAGTTAATATATTTGAGTGTGACTCTCTGATCCTGCTTTTACATTAAAAGTTGCTTTATTTCACTGTCAGAATTCTCCCTCTAGAATTATGGTAAAATTATGGTAATTATGGCAGCAGTCTGTCCATTCAATTAACCGTAAACTTTACGGTAAAGAACATTTTTTATCCTTGCGGTCTTAAAACCGTTTACAACTTGTATGGTTAAAAAACAATAAATACAAAATTATATGGTTTCTTAACCATTTGCAACTTGTATGGTTTCAAACGTGTAAAAAGGGCTGGACATGGCTGCATATAGTTTAGCAACTTTATGGTGCTGCATCTTTCCGTAAATGAGAGTATCGTATTTTAATATCCCAAAGTCACAAATTAGGGAGCGCAGGATACTGATGACTTTTTATGTGTTTAAGGGATTGGATGGAATTTTGTGGTGTCAGCGCTGTGACTCTGTTGTGTGTCAGACAAGAGATTGACAGATTAGTCCTCTCAGCTATAATGTACAGCCAACTGGAAGGAACT